TAACATGATAAGCCTTAATACACTTTCATAAGCCTTTCATACGCGACACAGTTCTGCATGTTCACGCGTGCTCACTTGCTAATATGCTCCTATGCTCATTCAAATGGCACGTGCGCACGTCCATGTGCTTGTGCTTGTGCATGAGCCCATCCATCCCCCACCCGCCCACTCGCCCATTCCTCCGTACAGAGCAGCACGTGGGAACGGTGCTGGGGCGCTTCGTGGTCATCTCGTGGCTCTTTGTGGTTCTCATTGTCACCTGCAGTTACATGCTCATACATGCATGCACCCACCCACCCACCCACCCGCCCACTCGCCCATCCCCCTTACAGAGCAGCACGTGGGAACGGTGCTGGGGCGCTTCGTGGTCATCTCGTGGCTCTTTGTGGTTCTCATCGTCACCTGCAGTTACACTGCCAATCTTACTTCCATCCTCACTGTTAACAACCTCACTCCCCCTGTACAGGTATGCTACTTACTTCCTCATCAAGTTATGGACATAAGATGTACAGTACGTGCTGTGTACAGTGTACGCACAGCACGGAAATGAGTCTATCCGCGTTTTTTCATGAATTTGAATCACCATCAAGCCTCTCCCCTCCCCCCTCGCCAACCGCCCTTCGAACCTTGCTTCACCCCTCACTCCTCGCCCCTCACTCCTCGCCCCTCACTCCTCGCCCCTCACTCCTCGCCCCTCACTCCTCGCCCTCACCCCTCCCTCTTGGCACCCACCCGTCCCAGTCACTGGCAGCAGTGATCACATCGGGTTCCGTGGTGGGCTATCTCAACGGCTCTTTGGGCGTCTCACTCGCCCTCCACCTCACTCATGACCCCTCCCAACCCTCGCCCCCCCACTCGTCCCAGTCCCTGGCAGCAGTGATCACATCGGGTTCCGTGGTGGGCTATCTCAACGGCTAATGAAGCGTCGCATCATCTCAAAACTCGCCCTTCCACCCCCGGCTTTCAACCCCACCTGTGGTTCTCCCTCTGCACCCCTTCCCAGTCCCTGGCAGCAGTGATCACCTCGGGCTCCGTGGTCGGCTATCTCAACGGCTCTTTCTCCGAGCAGCACCTGCTGGGCTTTGGTGTGCGCAGAGTAAGTCCCTCCCTCCCTGACCACTGCCCAGGGACCAATGCAGTGCCTTTTGAGTCGACTCGCAAGGAACCTCCTTCTGAGTCGTCTGAGAAGTCTCAACGGATCTTGTTCTTTCGAGTCGACACGTAAAGTGTCTTTTGGGCTTTGGTGTCCGCAGAGTGTCTGTAGAACTCGATGCAGTTCCTTCCGCCTCTCATGGATGTGCTTTCGGGTGTGTTTCCGCAGCCATGCTGAAGGGCACCGTGGTGGGGGTGGTGGGCTGTGAAAGGTGGGCTATGAACAGTGCGGCGGCTTGAGTCATGCCACTCACTCACACTCCTCCCTCCTCCTTGCCTCTGTCCCCAACAGAAGCAGCTCCAGGTGCTCAACAGCGTGGATGAGTACGCAGAAGCCATGCTGAACGGCACCGTGGTGGGGGTGGTGGGCTGTTAACGGTGTGTGCACCACATGCTCCTCACACTCGTTCCTCCTTCCCTTTGACCTTAACAGAAGCAGCTCCAGCCACTCAACAGTGTGGATGAGTACGCACAGGCCATGCTGAACGGCACCGTGGTGGGGGTGGTGGACGAGCGTCCCTTCCTGGACCTCATTCTCTCGCAAGACTGCACATTCACCACGGGGGACGCTGATATTTCCACCCTCGGATGGGCCTTCGTGAGTGTGGTAGCCTTGGTTTACCTGCGGTTTTTGTGTATCACGTTGAGAGTGGTGGACGAGCGTCCGTTCCTGGACCTCATTCTCTCGCGAGACTGCACATTCACCACGGGGGATGCCGATATCTCCACCCTCGGATGGGCCTTTGTGAGTGCAATACCCACCCGTGTGTTGTTGCGGTCTTTGAGTGGTTTTTTAGTGCCCTTTGAGTGGTCTGAGCGGTCTGGGGGTTGGCTAACAGGTGCGTTATGGTAACAGGTGCGTTATGGTAGCAGGTGCGCTATGGTAACAGGTGCGCTATGGTGACATGTGCGTTATGGAAACAGATGCGTTATGGTAAGAGGTGCGTTATGGTAACAGGTGCGTTATGGTAACAGGTGCGTTATGGTAACAGGTGCGTTATGGTAACAGGTGCGTTATGGTAACAGGTGCGCTATGGTAACTGGTGCGTTATGGTAACAGGTGCGTTATGGAAACAGGTGCGTTATGGTAACAGGTGCGTTATGGTATCATGTGTGTTCTGGTAACAGGTGCATTATGGCCGTTGCGTTATGGTAACAGGTGCGTTATGGTAACCGGTGCGTTATGGTAACAGGTGCGTTATAGTAAGCTGACACGTCCACCCATCTTCAACCCCTCCAACTTTCAACCATCTCCACCCCTCTTCATCCCTCTTCACCCCTCTTGAACCAACCCGGCACTCCTCGCATTCACCAGGCCTTCCAGAAGGGGTCAAATCTGGCCGTGGATCTGAGCAAGGCCATCGCCCAGCTGAGTGAAACAGGCCAGCTGCGAACCATCCACAGCAACTACGTGCCTGTGAGTGTCTACGTGCCTGTGAGTGTACATGGGCTTGTGAGGGCTAACGTGCTTGTAACGGGTGATGTGCCAGAAAGAGCTGAGCGAAACAGGCCAGCTGCGAACCATCCACAGCATCTACGTGCCTGTGAGTGTTCATGCGCATGGCACAGCACATCGACACTACGGGCCTACGGGCCTGCAAGAATCAATGTGCTGTAAGTGTCCTTGCGCGTGTAAGCAAGGGTGTGCCTGTAACGGGTGATGTGCCTGGGGGCGGCGGGGTTTCAGTTCATGTTATTCTGCTTCCACAACCATGTTCATTTGAGCGCTTTCCGTCCTTGCCTCCGCCCTCAAAACCCCTCCGCAGAACAACCTGAGCCCTTTCCATTCATGCATCCGCCCTCAAAACCCCCCCACAGAACAACCTGACGTGCAGTGGGGATGCAAGCGGGCAATCATCAGATAGCCTGGGAGTGGAGGGGTTTCAGAACCTGTTCATTCTGCGTTCAACCTGAGCCCTTTCCATTCATGCCTCCGCCCTCTAACCCTCCCGCAGAACAACCTGACGTGCAGTGGGGACGCGAGCGGGCAATCATCGGATAGCCTGGGAGCGGAGGGGTTTCAGAACCTGTTCATCCTCTATGCTGTCATGGCCACCTTCGCATGCCTCATGTACCTGGGCGTCCTGCTCTACCGCGGCCACCTCGCCAAGAAGTAGGTTTTGTTTGTTTGTTTTTGTTTTTGTTTTTTTGTTTTTTCTGTTTTTTTTCATGCCTGCCTGGGAGGTATGCCATCTGTTTCAATTCAAAGATCACCGCAGCAAGCCACCTTCGCTTCGCCTGCCTCATGTACCTGGGTGTGCTGCTCTACCGCGGCCACCTCGCCAAGAAGTAGGCCTTGTCCTGATTTTGTTTCCACGCCTGGCCTAGCGGTATGTCACAGTGTCATGTGTTCCAAGGAGCACAGCACCATAGACAGGACAGCCAGCCACCTTCGCCTGTCTCGCGTACGCTTTCCAAAAAAAGGCCCTTTCTTGTTTCCTCGGCCTGGATTGGTTTCTCTCATGCACGCCACTCGGCCCATCCTCGTATCCATCCATCTGGCTGTGTTTCGAGTCGACTCAAAACACGACCCATGCACGTCACTCGGCCCATCCTCATATCGATTCATCTGGTCTCTGCGATTGTCTCATCACGGCTTCGCCTGCTGTCTCTACACTGTGAGGGTCAATCTGAAGAGTTCTCAAAAGTGACACCTCGAGTACCAACCTGGTCTTTTCAACTTTGGTGTTTCCTTTGCTCTCCGCTTTCCTTTGTTTTGATTCCCCGGCGTTCCCCGTTCTGCCTGGTGATGCACACAGGGAGTTGGAGGAGGAGGGAGAGGAAGTGAGTGGGGGCATGTCTGCAATAAAGGCGAAGCCATGGATGAACCCTTTCAAGCACTTCATCTACCTCTATAACCTCGTGAGTCCATGCCCTCCTGCAGTTCTGTATGCGTGTAGTCATGCATGTGACTTCTGAGTCGACTCAAAAGAGTCACCTCAAGGCGAAGCCGTGGATGAACCCTTTCAAGCACTTTATCTACCTCTATAACCTCGTGAGTCATGCACGCTCGCAGTCCTGCATGCAACCCTGCATGCAATCATACATGTACTCTTGCATGTGCTCGTGCGTATTGTCTTGCGGGTCGAATCTTGTGGGGTGTACTTCTTCCCATAAATGCATTTGATACTTATTTGTGCCAATGTATTATTCTTCCTTTTATTTCCTTTTTTTCAGGGTGTGGCATGGAGCATTGCACGCAATATTGAATGTGACGACGAGCCGTTCTACGAAGCGGACTCGCAGATGTTTGATACGTATGAGGGTGCATCGTTCACCCAATCAGAGTTCACGAATAGGACCGACGAAGGCACAAAGCGTGAAATTGACCGTTGATTGAAGCATGCATCCTCGCATGCTGTCATCGCAGGCGTCGGTTCTCTTCGCAGGCGTCCGCTCCGCTTTCCTTGTATGCTGCTCCTACTTATTTATTGTTTGTTTTGTTTAGGCCATGGTACATCGAAGTTCCACACAATGCCAGAGTGGTGAATTAAATCAGGGCTTTACATGGTATCTTTTTTTATGGTCAGCTATTGTACAGTCGAGCGCGTCGACAGGCCTATGAGCCAATGATATTTATCTTATGGATGTACCATGCCCTCATACGGTATATGTTTAGATTTTATTTCTTCTCTGTCTATCATGTTTTCTATGACATACAGAATCATTCGTGTAAGCATCCTTCCCAACCCAACCTAACCTTTCAATTTACTCAAGTCCAACCTTCTCGGGACCTACTCGTCCACCCATCACAGCTTTGTGTCCTTGAAATTACCTACAAATCAGCTGACTGAAAGATCGCGGGTCGTACTTTCGTAATTACCTTGCCGCTGCGCCTTTCGCACGCCATGGCAGCCGATGGCGGTCGGAAAGAGAAGGATAAAAGCAAGGGTATTAAAGTCGGCAAGAAAACCGCAGCTGTGAAACCCAAGAAGCAGGATCGCGAAGGCCAGCAGAGCAAACCTAACGACGACGATTCTCGTCCACGTGGCAAGCAGAGCGACGGGGGATCGCGTCCACGTGGCAATCGGAACGAAGAGGGCTCGGTTCCACGTGGCGGCAGTCGAGATGCTGCTGCCGGAGAGATCTTGCCGGCGAGATTGCTGCCGTCGCAGATTAAGAACAAGCAGAAGCGGTCCGCAGTGACGGCGAAGCTTCGCGCAGAGAAGGAGAAGGGGAAGAAGCAGCGGCTGAAGCGGCGGCGGCAAGAGGAGGAACGCGCAGTGGCGTTGGGAGAAGCGGTAGGTCGGAGGGAGCGGTGGTTAGGGTTGAAGCAGCAGATCGGGGGAAGTTCTAAGATAGGCGTGCGAGAAAGGCAGTAGGCACAGAGGTTTCTCACATTGCGGCTGTAGACTGACTGTTTAGTTATCGCCTCGCCAATCGTTGGGTTTCGGGTTTCGGGTCTCGCCAATCTGGGTAGACCATTCAGGACAGCGTCCAGGTTCATTTATGCGCAAGTCCTTCGTTCCCCTCATTCGCAACCGTTTAAAGCCCCATTTTCTCGTCGTCGTTGTGAACCCTGCTTAAATCTCAAACCCTGCAGGCCCCGCCACGAAAGGTAGCTCGCACCATCGACAGCACGCGGGAGGTGGACGAGACTATAGCGCAGCCTGACGACGACGAGGTGACTATAACGAGGATGCGGTGTTTTTTTAGTCAACTTGAAATACTAAAAACGGGAAAAGAGTTGACTTCAAAAGGGACGGGTTGTTGATTCGTGTGTGAAGGGGTGGCCGTTTGTTGTGTTCAATGGATCATCGGTGTGAATCGTTATGATATTGGAACCGACGTCTCAAATCACATCTTTCTCATTCCTTGCAACCTCCAAATCTGTCGTCCTCTCTCCTCCCCTCCACCCCGCCCCCCGCCCCAACCCCCCCCCTTCCTTCCCCATGGTGACACCACAGCTGCATGCAGACGAGGAGCAGAACGAGTCCCCTCCACACGTGATTTTAAGGGGCGGGGCCACATGTGCAGAACCTCCCCCCTCCTTACCTTACCCCTTTTCCTCCCCCCTCTCCCACCACTACCCCCCATGGCAACACCACAGTTGCATGCAGACGAGGCACAGGACGAGTTCGCTCCACACTTGTCTTTAGGCGCCTCATGTAAGTACCGAACTTTCCCCCTCCCTTCCCCCCTTCCCTCCCTCTTCCTCACCCGCCACCATCCCCCCATGGCAACACCACAGTTGCATGCAGACGAGGCACAGGACGAGTTCGCGCCGCACTTCAACCGAGAGAGGCCGCCCAAAGTGCTCATCACCACGTGCCAACGGATACACCAGGTATGCCTGATTTCTGTCAGGCACCAGGTATGCCTAAAAGGTGCCCAAAGTGCTCATCACCACGTGCCAACGGATACACCAGGTGCGGCTGGTAGAAGAGGGGGCTTTTGAGGCGCCCCAAAAGCCCCCCAAAGTGCTCATCACCACGTGCCAACGGATACACCAGGTATGGCTGATTCATGATGCAATCGTGTTTTTATTTTTGTGCTACACTGCATGTCCTTCACCAGTTCATTTTCCAGTACCTGATTGTCTTACCGTGTTACTCTCATTGTCAATTCTTCCCCCGTTGAGTTCCTTGATTGATTGCAGGCAATGAAGCAGCTTATAAAGGAGCTTTTAGTGGTCATTCCGGGGTCAGAGTACTATGAGAGACGGCAGTATCGCATCAAGGAGGTGTGTGTGAGGCAGTAGGGGAGAGCATGTGTGTGTGAGGTACAGGGAGATTTTGTGTGTGTGTGTTGTACTAGGGAAGGTGCATGTATCATTCCAGGATCCGAGTACTATGAGAGACGGCAATATCGCATCAAGGAGGTGTGTGCACTGCTGCTCTATCCTCACCACGCTTCTCTTTCCCGTCATTTCTCTTCAAACTCCGTCTCTTGTCCTTGTCAAGTACTGTGGCTTGCATGCCCCTAACCCTCCTTTCCCTCTTGCTTGCGAGTCCAAATCCAGCAGGCACATTAGCACGGGATTACACGGCTACAGCATGACTAACCACTCCCTCCCTCCCGTCCCCTCTGCATGCCTGCGAGTGCACTTTTGAGGCGCCTAAAAAAAACAAGCAGTGTACATTAGCACGGGAATACACGGCTACAGCATGACTAGCAACTCCCTCCCTCCCCTCCTCGTGCATGCGAGTGCAGTGCAGTATGAGGTGACTTTTGAGTCGACTCAAAAGTCCCCTCCCTCCCCTCCTCGTGCCTGCGAGTGCAGATAGTGCAATACGCATCAGCGAGGGACTACACGGCTATGATCGTGATCAACGAGAATCGAAGCAAGCCAAGTGAGTACACAATTCAACACGCTTTGGCACAGGCTTTGGCATGCGGTTTTGTCTCTGTGTTTCTGTGTGCTGTCCCAAAGCCAGTCGTGTGTCATTCGTGCATTCGCCCCAACGTTACACACGCGTGTTTTCCGCTTTGGAAGGGATTTCGAGCACCCTTTAGACCATTCCTGTCTCAGTCCTATCCTATCCATCTCTCGTATCATTTCTGATTTTATCTTTGGTTGTCTCTGGCTTTGGGTCTTGTACCCCGGTTTCCCGGTTTCCCGGTTTCCCGGTACCCCGGTTTCCCGGTTTCCCGGTATCCCGGTTTCCCGGTTTCCCGGTTTCCCGGTATCCCGGTATCCCGGTATCTCGGTTTCCCGGTATCTCGGTTTCCCGGTTTCCCGGTTTCCCGGTTTCCCGGTATCCCGGTTTCCCGGTATCTCGGTTTCCCGGTTTCCCGGTTTCCCGGTATCCCGGTATCCCGGTTTCCCGGTATCCCGGTTTCCCGGTTTTCCGGTATCCCGGTTTCCCGGTATCCCGGTTTCCCGGTATCCCGGGTTCCCGGGTTCCCGGTTTCCCGGTATCCCGGTATCTCGGTTTCCCGGTATCTCGGTTTCCCGGTATCCCGGTATCCCGGTATCCCGGTTTCCCGGTATCTCGGTTTCCCGGTTTCCCGGTTTCCCGGTTTCCCGGTTTCCCGGTATCCCGGTATCCCGGTTTCCCGGTATCCCGGTTTCCCGGTTTCCCGGTATCCCGGTTTCCCGGTATCCCGGTATCCCGGTATCCCGGTATCCCGGTTTCCCGGTTTCCCGGTTTCCCGGTATCCCGGTATCCCGGTATCCCGGTATCCCGGTATCCCGGTATCCCGGTATCCCGGTTTCCCGGTTTCCCGGTTTCCCGGTTTCCCGGTATCCCGGTATCCCGGTATCCCGGTTTCCCGGTTTCCCGGTTTCCCGGTTCCCCGGTTCCCCGGTTCCCCGGTTCCCCGGTTCCCCGGTTCCCCGGTTCCACGGTTTCACGGTTTCCCGGTTTCCCGGTTTCCCGGTTTCCCGGTATCCCGGTATCCCGGTATCCCGGTATCCCGGTTTCCCGGTTTCCCGGTTGCCCGGTTGCCCGGTTGCCCGGTTGCCCGGTTGCCCGGTTGCCCGGTTGCCCGGTTGCCCGGTTGCCCGGTTGCCCGGTTGCCCGGTTGCCCGGTTTCCCGGTATCCCATATCCCGGTTTCCCGGTTTCCCGGTTTCCCGGTTTCCCGGAATCCCGGAATCCCGGAATCCCGGTTTCCCGGATTCCCGGTTTCCCGGTTTCCCGGTTTCCCGGTATCCCGGTATCCCGGTATCCCGGTATCCCGGTATCCCGGTTTCCCGGTTTCCCGGTTTCCCGGTTGCCCGGTTGCCCGGTATCCCGGTTGCCCGGTTGCCCGGTTGCCCGGTTGCCCGGTTGCCCGGTTGCCCGGTTGCCCGGTTGCCCGGTTGCCCGGTAGCCCGGTTTCCCGGTTTCCCGGTTTCCCGGTTTCCCGGTTTCCCGGTTTCCCGGTTGCCCGGTTGCCCGGTTGCCCGGTTGCCCGGTTGCCCGGTTGCCCGGTTGCCCGGTTGCCCGGTTGCCCGGTTGCCCGGTTTCCCGGTATCCCATATCCCGGTTTCCCGGTTTCCCGGTTTCCCGGTTTCCCGGTTTCCCGGAATCCCGGAATCCCGGAATCCCGGTATCCCGGATTCCCGGTTTCCCGGTTTCCCGGTTTCCCGGTATCCCGGTATCCCGGTATCCCGGTATCCCGGTATCCCGGTTTCCCGGTTTCCCGGTTTCCCGGTTTCCCGGTATCCCGGTTGCCCGGTTGCCCGGTTGCCCGGTTGCCCGGTTGCCCGGTTGCCCGGTTGCCCGGTTGCCCGGTTGCCCGGTTGCCCGGTAGCCCGGTTTCCCGGTTTCCCGGTTTCCCGGTTTCCCGGTTTCCCGGTTTCCCGGTTTCCCGGTTGCCCGGTTGCCCGGTTGCCCGGTTGCCCGGTTGCCCGGTTGCCCGGTTGCCCGGTTGCCCGGTTGCCCGGTTGCCCGGTTTCCGGTATCCCGGTATCCCGGTATCCCGGTATCCCGGATTCCCGGATTCCCGGTATCCCGGTATCCCGGTTTCCCGGATTCCCGGATTCCCGGATTCCCGGATTCCCGGATTCCCGGATTCCCGGATTCCCGGATTCCCGGATTCCCGGATTCCCGGATTCCCGGATTCCCGGATTCCCGGATTCCCGGATTCCCGGATTCCCGGATTCCCGGATTCCCGGATTCCCGGATTCCCGGATTCCCGGATTCCCGGATTCCCGGATTCCCGGATTCCCGGATTCCCGGATTCCCGGATTCCCGGATTCCCGGTTTCCCGGTTTCCCGGTTTCCCGGTTTCCCGGTTTCCCGGTTTCCCGGTTTCCCGGTTTCCCGGTATCCCGGAATCCCGGTATCCCGGTATCCCGGTATCCCGGTATCCCGGTATCCCGGTATCCCGGTTTCCCGGTTTCCCGGTTTCCCGGTTTCCCGGTATCCCGGTACGTGGTTCCACATTCGCCCCAATTCCCGACCTGCATGTCCTCCTCCCACACCCTTCCCCGCTCTCCCTTCCCCAGACGCTCTTATGCTCATCGGTCTGCCAGAAGGCCCCACTGCTCTTTTCAAGCTCTCCAGTCTGGTCTTAAGGACATCAAGGTCAGCGTCAGTCAGTGTCATGTCAATGGCTCTTCTGTGAATACATCCAATATGAGACCAGACCCCAGTGTTGAAACAGGTTACTGTCAATTTTTTTTATATATATTTTTATTTGTCCTGGTCTTCGTTGTCACAAGGAAGGTTATTTAGCTGCGACTCAGAGGCTTGTGGTATGAGTGTAATCTACTTTTGAGGAATGAGGTTGAGAGTCAGAGGCTTGAGGCATGAGGTGAGCTGTAGGTTTCAGATCTAGAATGTGGGACTCGCATCATCGCCACCATCCATTTTTTCTTATCTTGCTCCTAATTTTCCTCTTCATTGTCCTCACATCCTCCCTCCCTCCACTTTCAGAACGCAGGGCGGGCAACAGGGCATCTCCCAGAGCTCATTCTGAACAACTTCTCCACACGCCCGGGACACCGAGTCGGACGGTGCGTGCAAGGAGGGGGGGGAGGGGGGGGTGGATGTGCTTATGTGTGTCCGTGCATTCGTGTGGATGGGTGATGTCGCATCTCCCAGAACTCATTCTGAACAACTTCTCCACACGCCTGGGACACCGAGTCGGACGGTGCGTGTGTGTTTCTGGGGGCTGTGCGTGTTGGGGGGTGTGGGTGTGGGAGAGAGGTTGTGCGTGTGTTTGTTGTTGTTGGTGTCAACACTGAATTCTCCGTGGCACCTCATTTCGAAATCCCCTGCGCTCCTCCTTCCCTTTTCTCCTTGTCGCATTCTCCCCCCCCCCTCCCTTTCTTTCGCCAGCCTGCTGGCCTCTCTGTTTCCGCAGGACCCAGAGTTTAAGGGCAGAAGGGTGGTCACTCTGCACAACCAGCGCGATTTCATCTTCTTTCGCCACCACAGGTGCGTGGTGTGGTAACACACACACAGATACACACATGTGCGCTCGCGCACACACACACTATGTGAGTGAGTTTGAGTGAGTTTGGGTTGTACCAATGAAGCTGGAGTTGAAGGGCAGGAGGGTGGTCACTCTGCACAACCAGTGCGATTTCATCTTCTTCCGCCACCACAGGTGCGTGGCTTAGCACGCACACACACATGCATGCGCGCACGCACGCACACAAACACACGGACACACTCACTCACTCACTCACTGACACACACTGTGTTGCTCACACACTCACATTGCATTCCTGCCCTCGCATGCACCAGGTACATATTCGAAGATCCGGAGGGGAGAGACGAGTCGCTGGGGCTGAGAAAGAAGAAGGCAAGGGAAGAGAAGGAGAGGGCGGGCCTGCTGAAGCGCAAGAAAGCGGCTGAGGCGGCAGCAGCAGGGAAGAAGACTGGCAGCTTGGGCGCATCCCTGGGCATTTTCACACGGCTGCAGGTGAGATGAGAGATTGAGGGGTGGGATGGTTGATGGTGAGATGAGGTTGGACGGGGGAAGGTGAGATGTAGGGGGGCCAGCAGCGGCAGCGGCAGCTGGGAAGAAGACTGGCAGCTTGGGCGCATCCCTGGGCATTTTCTCTCTCTACCTAAAATTATAATCCATGCAGGATAATTGGGGAAAAAAAAAAAAACAAACAAACAAACAAACACACGCATTCTCCCCCCCTCTCAACTCTCTTCTCACTCCTCTCTCCTCTGCGTCTGTGAGTGCAGGAATGTGGTCCGCGATTCACCCTCAAGCTTACGAGTGTGCAGCGGGGCACGTTTGACTCCAAGGGAGGAGAGTACGAGTGGGTGTACAAGGTGAGTTACTTTGTGCAAGCGGGTGTACAAGGTGGGTTTTTTTGTGATAATGGGTGAACAAGGTGAGTCGATTCGTGCGAGTGGGTGTACAAGGTGAGTCTCTTTGTGCAAGTGGGTGTACAATGTGATTTTATTTGTGCCACTGGGTGTACAAGGTGAGTTTATTTGTGCTACTGGGTGTTCGAGGTGAGTCCATTAACGGCACCGCACGGTGAGTCTATTCATCCAGTTTCCCGGTTATCTCCCCCGAGTGGATGTGAGTTGAGACTTATGTTGATCCAAGAATGCACAGAGTAACGCTTGCATTGCATGGCCGCGCAAGCATGCTGTTGTGAGATCCGGAGCTGCGGATTTTGTTCTGTGTGTAAGAGTGGGTCTGCTACACAGGCGTTTTGAGGGTTAGTCCATTCTCTTTCCCCTATCCTTTGGCCCTTTGCCCACCGTCTGTCGGCCTACCCTTTGTCGCTTCACAGCTTCCCTTTACTCAATCCCATGTCATTCCTTGCTCTTTTCTTGCATTTACAGAACGACATGGACACAAGCAGGAGAGGGTTCTTCCTGTAAAGGCTTCGCATGAAGAGCTAGAACCATCTTGCTGCTTGCTGATGTTGCAAAGATGCAAAAGTTGCAAATGTTGCGAGTGCAAGGCTCCAGCCAGCCCCAGTTGAAGGAGCCAGGCAATGTAGAGATGCTTTTGAGAATTCTCGGCATGTCATTACTTATTTCCAACATTGGAATTTCAACACGTCAATTTGTCGTTAACCAGGGCCAGTTCCTTACAAAGGCTTATGCACTACGGGAGCATTCAGAGACCACAAGCATTGTTACACTGCTGTGCCTAAATGGAATGTGGCGATGAGCATTGTTTGCACGGTGTGCCTGCCTGCCTAGTACCGTAAATGGAATGTGACATGAAGGTGCGGGCAGTCTGCGTTGGTGCACCTGACGTCCTGAGCGTGTGCCATAGTGCCTGCCCACCCACACGTGTGAGGCACCTCACCTGAAGTAACCATGTCGATGGGTTTCAGTCAGACTCCAATCACGGTGGGTAAAGAGGCTGCATTCCCTTGCCAAATGCAAGCCATCTCGGAACTTTAGCACAGGTTGGAAAAGATTACGGTTCTCAACAATTAGTAACTCTCCACCACCTCGCTCCGCAGCTGCATCCCTCCACGTGCTTCGCGCCTACCTCTTTCATTTTCCAAATTTCTCCAAACAACCGCAGCTGCCACTTCCCACAGCTTCCTTCCAACTGCTTCCCAGCAACCTCCTCCTTCCAACTCTAACTCCCTCCTACTGCTTCCTCTGCCTTTTGAACCGTTCCAACGCGCCCAGGGCCGCCTCCTTCCCGTCATCCTCTCCTCCCTTCTCTGCTGCCTCCCTCTCTCTCTTCGCCATCTCCTCCGCCTTTCCAGCCAGGGCTCCAAACACCCCCGCAGGCACAGACACCTGCGTCACCCCGACCTTGCTCCTCCCCTTCCCCTCCCCTCCCTCCCCCTCTCCCTCCTCCCCTTCCTCCTCCTCATCCTCCTCCTCATCTGCCAATTCAATCTCCTCTGGGTTTGCTTGTTGGGACTTCACCCCTGCTCCTGTCTCTTGCTCCTGAACCGTCCCTCCACTCACAAACATCGGCACGCGTGGTTTCGCCGCCCCCTCCCCTGCTCCTCCCACTCCTCCTGCTGCTTTCCCAGCAGCCGCCTGCTCTAGAGCTTCCATGCTATCCATTCCCCCACCAGCAGCAGCACCTGGGGCGTCAAGTAAGCCTTCCCCAGATGCGCCCTCCCTGCCCCGGCCAGTATCACCTTCCCGAGGCACGGAGGGGGTTGACTTGTTCATGAGATACTCAGGCAGGATGAAGTGCATCTGTGGGTGTGGAGAGGGGTGAGAAGCGGTCGGGATGGGATGAGGGGACAGAGCGGGGGGCCAAGGGCGAGACATGAGAGGAGGGGGTTGACTTGTTCATCAGGTACTAGGGGAGAATGAAGTGCATCTGGGAGCGAGGGGGGGGATGGGAAAGGGGGAGGAGGAGGAGTGGGTGGGTGGAAAGAAAAAGGCAGGGATGGATGGAGGGGAAGATAGGGGACAAGTGCGAGGCGTGAGAGGAGGGGGTTGACTTGTTCATCAGGTACTCAGGCAGGATGAAGTGCATCTGTGGGCGTGGAGAGGGGTGAGAAGCGGTCGGGATGGGATGAGGGGAGAGAGAGGGGGGGCAAGGGCGAGACATGAGGGGAGGGAGTTGACTTGTTCATCAGGTACTAGGGAAGAATGAAATGCATCTGTGGGCAATGTGGGGGAAAGCAGGGGGGAAGGGGGTTAAGGGGAGGAAGAGGGGAGGGAGGGAGGGGACAGAGAGGGCAGCAGGAGCGAGGAGTGAGGGGAGGGAGTTGACTTGTTCATCAGGTAATCGGGGAGAATGAAATGCATCTGTGGGCAAGGGGAGGGAAGGGGGGGAGGAGGGAGCGGAAGGGGAGGAGGGAAGGATGGTTTGGGCAGTCAGAGAGGGGGAGCAAGAGGCAGACGTGAGGGGAGGGGGTTGACTTGTTCATCAGATACTACGGGAGAAAGGAGGAACTAGGGCAGGATGAAATGCATCTGTGGCGGGGGAAAGGAGGAGGGGGGGGGAGGGCAAGGGGGTGCCAGGATCTCAAACGCGTTCCTCACCTCCCAGTAACTCCCCATCAGACCGCCCGCGGGTCTCCCGCATTCCCTTAACCTAACAGCCCACCCGCCTGTAGCACCCACCAGGCTGTAGCAGCAGCACCACGCACCTGGCTGTAGCTAGCAGAAACGGATCGCTTGATCCGCAGCATATCCCGAAACGTGTCCTCATTGCCATGCGCGATCTCAAACGCGTTCCACGCCTCCCAGAACTCCCCGTCAGACCGCGGGTGTCTAGCATTCCCTATACCAGTCTGTAGCACCCACCTGGCTGTAGCTTGCCGAAACGGATCTCTTAATCCTGAGCATGTCGCGAAACGTGTCCTCGTTGCCGTGAGCGATCTCAAACGCGTTCCACGCCTCCCAAAACTCCCCGTCGGACCGCGGGTCGGCCAGCTGGCTGGCGTGCACGAAGATGGCTCGCGCGCGGTCGATCTCCCCCAGCCGCCTCTCCAGCGCCGCGTACCGCAGGCACATGCGCTTCACGTCCCCATCTGGTAGCCCAGACTCGATGGCTCTCTGCAGGGAGGGAGGGGATTGGGGAGGGCAGGGAGGGAAGAGGTAGGACAGTTGTCATCTGCTTCTCTCCAGCGCCGCGTACCGCAGGCACATGCGCTTCACGTCCCCATCTGGTAGCCCAGACTCGATGGCTCTCTGCAGGGAGGGAGGGGATTGGGGAGGGCAGGGAGGGAAGAGGTAGGACAGTTGTCATCTGCTTCTCTCCAGCGCCGCGTACCGCAGGCACATGCGCTTCACGTCCGCATCTGGTAGCCCAGACTCGATCGCCCTCTGTGGTGGGGGAAACATTGCCCAGAGAGGGCGGGGAGAAGGGGGGTTGGGAGGGGCGGCAGTGACGGTGTGAGCCTGCAATGGGTGAGCTAGAGTCGGTGGGCTGACCTGACAATGCGTCAGCCCATACGTCAGGAATCAGGACTTTTGTCTCCACTGACCCACCCCACTCACCTCGTAGATATCTCTCGTCTTCGCAACTCCAAACAGCTCAGCAGCGCGCGCAATGAAGAGCTCGTACACGCCCATCCGCTGCTCCTCCGGCACCGCCTGTGCTGCGCGCTCATACACGGCCATGGCATGCCGTGCCAGCCCATACTCCTCCTCTAGTTTTGCATACGCCAAGTAGAGTGGCTTGCAGTCCGTTGCTGGGGCCTGGTGTAGGAGGAGGGGAGGCGGAATTGGGAACAGGGAGTGGGAATGGATGATAAACGGGTGCCTGTGCTGCTCTATCGTACACGCCCATCCGCTGCTCCTCGGGCACCACCTGTGCTGCGCGCTCATACACGGCCATGGCATGCCGTGCCAGCCCATACTCCTCCTCCAGCCGCGCATAGGCCAGATACAGTGGCTTGCAGTCCGTTGCTGGGGCCTGGAGGGAGCGTAAGTGAGAAGAAGGGAGCACGGGGAATGGGAGATGAGGGATCGAGAGGGGGAGACAAAGGGATATCCCTGCAGTCTCGCCTCCCGCCTGTGCTGCTCTCTCATACACGGCCATGGCATGCCGTGCCAGCCCATACTCCTCCTCCAGCCGCGCATAGGCTAGGTAGAGAGGTTTGCAGTCCGTTGCTGGGGCCTGGAGGGGGGAGAAGGGGAGGGAAGGGGGGAAGGAGGTAGGTGGTCCAGATGTCATGCACGTGCGGCGGATACCTGAAGGCAATGAGACACAGGCACATGGGGCTCTCTGACCTTTCACTGAATCTGACCTTTCACTGAATCTGACCTTTCACTGAATCCGACCTTTCACTGAATCTGAAACATTCCACCCATTACCTACCAAGTGAGCTTTGGGGCGCCTCAATACTCATTCCACCCACCCACCATCGAGTTTCCAAACGTGTGACTGAACTAAACCCCATGCCATGCCATGCCACTCCCAACACCCCCCATGCCACTCACACGTTTTGAAACGTCGAAACTCAACACCCCAATCCACTCACACTCTCGAGAGCCTGTTCGAAGAGGTCCCGGGCTCGCTCCAGCTTCTTCCCCCCGTAGTGCTGCACGAACTTGGAGAGGTAGGTGGTCCACATGATGGCCTCTCGCTTCACTCAAAGGCTCACACGCTCACACGCTCACAGGCTCACAGGCTCACAGGCTGATACCAACATGGGCCCCTCCGGCCAGACGAGGCATGGCACTCACACTCTCAAGTGCCTGCTCGAACAAGTCCCGTGCGCGCTCCAGCTTCTTCCCCCCGTAGCGCTGCACGAACTTGGAGAGGTAGGTGGTCCAGATGTCGCGCACGTGTGGGTACTTGAATATGTTCACCCCGCGCTCGTACACCTTGAAGCTGTCCTCGAAATACTTATGCTCCTGAATTGGAACAAACACACAGGCGTCACATAGACACACGGAGAAGAAAAGGGGGACACGCGATTAGAAGTACTTGAATATGTTCACCCCGCGCTCATACACCTTGAAGCTGTCCTCGAAATACTTGTGCTCCTGTTGTTTCCATGAGAGGGGGTTGGACACAGGGTGAAAAGGAGGACAGGTGACAGATGATGACCAAAGATGTTCACCCCGCGCTCGCTCGTGCACCTTGAGACTGTCCTCGAAGTACTTGTGCTCCTGAATTGGATTACAGGGTGTTACACAGCAGGTGGAAGGGTGGAAAAAGAGTTGCAGGTGTCTTATAGGGTGACTCGATACAGCTTGTACACCTTGAAGCTGTTCTCGAAGCAGTGCTGTGATACTGGGTTGGATTACAGGGTGTTGTTACACACAGTAAGATGGTTGAAACTTGAAAGGTGTTTAAATCCGATGTCGCGCACGCACGTGCGATGCGGGTTATTAAAGATGTTCACTCTGTGCGCGTATGCCTTGAAGCTATCCTCAAAGTACGTGTGCTCCTGGGGTAGTTTACAGGGGGTGTGACATGGGGTCAACGGAGG